AGCAAGGAGAAATAGCAAGTGTCGCTTTTTCCCTCCGCTCTTCCTCCAGTGGCACAATGTGATCCACCGGCAAGGAGGGACACCAATGGAATGTGTTCGATAAGTCTTATAAAATATATAGATTTATGATAATTCTAAGACTGAGCTAGCAGATGAGAATCCTAGTCATTGGCCAAGCAGCATTTGTACTTAATATAAGTCTGTGTATTATTTTGTCCATCCACATGGCGGGCAGAACTCGGGTGGCTGGCAGAGACCGCCTATGTGGCGGTAGAACTTGGGTGGCTTTTGGCGGAAAGATTTATTGTAACAGTCTGGGGATGGGAATGGGTGGCCTACCTGGAGTTCTGGTGTCTGGTATGTCCTCTAGTTGTGTAGGGAACCTCTTCTGGTGCTGGGGACTGGCCAAGGAGGGGAGGAGTGGGTGGGAATAGGATGAGTGGGCAGACAATTGGTGAGGTGTGTCTCAGGCAAGTGTCCTACCTGGAGTGGCCTATGGTGGAGCAGGGTACTTCTGGAGTTGTGTGCTTGGAAGTGGTGATGAGTATAGGAGAGGTAGTTGGGGGTAGGCTGCTTGGATACTGAGGGAGTGGGGTCAGTAAGTGGGTGCAGGGCTTTCCTGGTGTTCTGTTGGCAGATGTGGCCTCTGGTATAAAAGGGAGTTTCCCCACTGGAGTTTGTGGGTTGGGATATTACTTTGCCTGGCTTTTATCATGGGTGTTTGGCTCAAATTCAGATTCTTGTGGTTATGCTGTAAGTACTCTGATCTGCTCAGCCACCTCTCCAACCCTTCATGAGGGCCTTCTAGCTGTTATGTGTACACTACTGTATTAATATTTGTACCCCTACTGTCACCACACCACCACTAATTTATCATTTGTCAGTATAAATGTCAGCTCCTTCATCAGAAGGCCTTCCCTCTTAATTTTCCAAATTTAGAATCAGTTGTCTCTGTGTGCTCGACAGCTCCTAGTAATCACTTCCAAGACCCCTCAAACTCCACTGCCACTCCTGCATGTCCTCCACTTCCATGGCTGGCCTTCCCTTACCTTTTGCATTGTGATAACGTCAAAGGACCAGCTTAGAATAGAACACATTCACACAGTTATGTTGTATAGCTTAAAGCTATTTTATATGTTATAAATGTCATCTACCTTAAAGCTATTATACATATTATACAACTTAAAGCTATTATATATGTTATATATCTTAAAGCTATTATTTGAATGAATGGCATCTTAGCCTGCATCCTAAGGTTCTATGATGTAACACAGCCTAAAATATGCAATATGTTTTTGTTTTCTTTTTAAATATTATTTTCAATAGTCCTTTAAGGTCTATGTAAACATTATCAATAACAGTTTGTGGATTTTGCCCATAAGTTATCTATCTATCTATCTATCTATCTATAATTAAATAATTATCTATCTACATATATATACACACACAAATTTCTTTTTAAGTTTTACATAAAATTATCCATGTTATTTTCTGACTGCAATTATGTTAATTATATACAAGATACTTAAGAATAGATTATTAATTGTTAATAAAACAATTCTTCACTTATAGGAGTAAATATTTTCTTGTGTTAAAACATTTGTATAATCAACATGTTGAAAAGGAAAGTTTTTGAAAATAACATTTGTTACTCAAACGCAAAGAAATTGCAAAGTGTCTTCAAATGCGTTTTCTGGAAGATATAGTTAAAATTTCAAAAAATAAGAAATTATTAACATTCATTTGCTACTCTTTGTTAGTATAATTGTTTAGAACATTTTTGGTGAGATATGCTTGTGACCAAGTTCCTCTTTTGCTAAGTGTCCTGTGTGACCAATCTTCTCTATTGGTTTTATGAACCAATCTCCTTTATTGTTTATACATATTTGTGTGACCAGCTTGTCTAGTGTGTGTGTGTGTGTGTGTGTGTGTGTGTGTGTGTGTGTGTGTGTGTGTGTGAGTGAGTGTGTGGTTAGAGTAATCCTGAAGGACAATGCAAGACTCAATGTACAGAGTTAAGTAGAAATGAAGTTTGACAAATGTAAGGAGGGAATACATTCGTAGGCAGATGAGATGAGTTATTGGATGTTAATTATTGTGCGAACTAAAGAATATCATCTGGGGAACCCATTAAAACAAAACAAAGCAAAAGTAAACTTATATCAAATAATTCTTCAGAATCTTTTCATATTTGAGACTTGAGTTTAAGGTGTGTGTGTGTGGGGGGGCGTGTGAGTAGGGAGAAAGAGTCAGAGAGAGAAGGAGAACAGTCTTTTCTATTGCTACTCATTTATACTAGAAGATGTACAGGAAACCTGGCAACATTAGCTAGGATTACGTAGTTTCAGAATGTAACGTGCAGTACCAAGTTTACATTTGTTTCCCCAAAGTGAATTTTCTGTGGTAGTAGAATAACAGCTTTCCCGTATACACAGAGAAAAAGACTAGATGAGATAAGAGACTGAAGCACACAGTGAAGAGAGAAACCAAGGTAAAGGCTGGAACAGGAAAATATGTGGTAACAGCAGGGAATGCCTTGACATGATCAGAAACAAAAGAATAAAAGTGTAGAAGGCAGGTGGGAGAACCAGAAGCCAAAATTAATGACAAAAGAAGAAGTCTGTCACTAAAAGTGGAAAAAAGATCTCTCAATTATAAATATCAAAACTTATTTGATACCCATGATTACTGCATTTTAAGAATGTCAGAATAGGTTCTTTTTTTCTTCCTTTTAATGAAGCAATCAAATTGGAAACGTTTTTACTCTGATCACAGATTTGTGGTACAGAGCATATCCCTAGCATAGTTGTGTCTAACTGTTTTGGCTGAGTACACTAAGAAATAACTAACAATCAGTGTCCTTGATGGCTAGCTGTGTGATATTAGAAGCCAAGCAAATCTTTCCTTATTCTTTTTAACAGAGTAGTTCAATGCTGTGCTGTTATCTGATCACTCAGGTCTCAACTAAGATTGCCACAAAAGTGAAAAATAAGAAGCTCAGCTCTATATTAAAATATTACTCACTCTGAATCTCGTACTTGATAGCTATTTCGTTTGTTTCCTGTGTTAGCATCTTAATATGTTTCTGGGGCAAGATTTGGCTATTTTGAAGGCACTGAACAAAATGGAGGAGAAAAGACATTAAAAATATACAGATAATCACTCAAGAAGTCAGAAGATGATAAACACCACTAGCAAAAAGGAAGCATGGTGGTTTCAAAGGAAGAGGGCAACACATTCAGCTCACTTTGGAGAGTTGGAAATCTAAAGGAGGCATGGCATGCAAGCCAGGTCTAGATAAGTGAGCAGGAAGAGGAAGGTACATGGGAAGCATGGCCACGCCCCTCCAACTGTTTGCTACTGTTACTTCATCAGCTGTCACACCTATTTTGTTGATTTCCTTCTACATTTTAGTTTTATGACTTCTCTGCTAAATGATCTCCACTAAGAATTAATTACTGTATCTTTGATAAGTAAGCTTAACCTCCCCCCCCCCGCAAAGAAAACAAACCCCACCAAAAAATACAAAAACTGAAGCAACAATAAAAAGAAAATAAATTTTATCTGGTTCTCATTTTAGTATTTCCTATTCCCACCCTCACTTTTAGACTGCGGAGGCCTGGTTCATTTTGATTGTTTCTTGCCCTCAGGAAAGGTGTGTTCATTAAGTTACTGTTTGGCTCCATTGTGGCCCCATTGTCATGATACTCTTGTTCCTATGTACAAACTTTGTAAGGGCCAGAGCAGCGTGTGTCTTTGTTTTTCTGAGGTGCACTGGGCTGTGGCCGTCTCTGTGTGTATGTGCCCTGGGGTATCCATTCCTGAAGGAAAAATCAATGTATGCAAGTAGAACCAGAGGTAGGAGGGTGGAAGGGTTCAGAAAAGCCCAGGGAGCTCTGAATAGCAAGCTCGATGTCCTGGGTTCTCTTCCTCCTCTGACCTTGTGAAGCGCCCCTGTAAGAGTACACCTGCACCCAGGATCCCACAAGCTCCCAGTGCCCCCCCCCCCCACCAACTGCTCAGTGGAGTCTTGTCCTGCCTTATTTCCCGGTGCTCTCCTAGTTTTCATTTAAATATTCCTCTTCAGCTGCTTCCTAAGGGTGGCCCAGCAATTTTCTTCAGACCAGGGAAACACCTTTTTTTTTTTTTTTTTTTTCTCAGAATGTAAGAAGGGAGGCGGGGAAAGAAAGGACTTTCCTTGGGCTGAGAGCGGGGATTCCCTGTCCAGGACCAATCCATTTCCACTATGTCCATAGAGCTGAAGGCGACCACAGCCAGGATGCAGGTGACTCTAGGGAACACTCCTCAGACCCCCCCAACCCCCAACCTCTTCCCAGGAAGGGTCTGGAGCTCGGGAATCAGCTAATGAGCTCGCCCCCATTGGTTGTCCCCAAGGCACCCTCATGCCGTCACTGTGTTATGCTAATGAGGGGGAGGCTCATTGGCTGGGCCTCCAGCAAACGCTTGGAAAGACCTGTGCAGGGAGAGCCGAGCCCACCGCCTTTGCTCCCGCCTTCGCCCGCCCGCCCGGCTGCGCCCAGAGCTTTCAATCTCGCCGGGGATGCCCTGGTGGGAGGCTCCGGTCCCCGCCTTTCAGGAAAGTGCCTGGCCATCACGCGGCGCTCACGCCCACCACCTGCCCTCTTTCTAGGCACCGCGCAATTTTTCTCTTTTTTTGTAGGTGAAGTAACTTTTGCATTCCAAACTCCCCCCGACGGTCCCAGGGACCA